TAAAGTGAGTGCTATTAATCTCATTTTGTTACCTGTATAAAACACCTGTCCACAGGAGCAATCAAACAATCAGATTCCAAACTCTCCACCATGGCAAAGACCAAAGAGCTGTTCAAGGATGTCAGGGACAAGATTGTAGATGTACACAAGGCTGGACTGGGCTACCAAACTATCGCCAAGCAGCTTGGTGAGAAGGTGACAACAGTTGGTGCAATCATTCACAAATGGAAGAAACACAAAACAACTGTCAGTCTCCATAGGTCTGGTGCACCATGCAAGATCTCACCTCGTGGAGTGTCAATGATCATGAGAACAGTGAGGAATCATCCCAAGCTACACGTGAGAATCTTGTCAATGATCTCCAGGCAGCTGGGACCACAGGCACCAAGAAAACAATTGGTAACACACTACGCCGACAAGGATTGAAATCCTACAGTGCCGCAGTGTCCATCTGCTCAAGAAAGCACATGTCCAGGCCCGTCTGAAGTTTGCCACTGAACATCTGAATGATGCAGAGGAGGACTTGTTGAAAGTGTTGTGGTCAGATGAGACCAAAATCGAGCTCTTTGGCATCAACTCAACTCGCCGTGTTTGGAGGAGGAGGAATGCTGCCTATAACCCCAAGAACACCATCCTAACTGTCAAACATGGTGGTGGAAACATTCTGCTTTGGGGCTGTTTTTCTGCTAAGGGGACAGGACAACTGCACTGTATCAAAGGGACGATGGACGGGGCAATGTACCGTCAAATCCTGGGTAAGAACCTTCTTCCCTCACTCAGGGCATTGAAAATGGGTCATGGATGGGTGTTCCAGCATGACAATGACCCAAAACACATGGCCAAGGCAACAAAGGAGTGGCACAAGAAGAAGCACATTAAGGTCCTGGAGTGTCCTGGCCAGTCTCCAGACCTTAATCTGCTTGAAAATCTGTGAAGGGTGCTGAAAGTTCGAGTTGCTAAACGTCAGCCACCAAACCTTAATGACTTGGAGAGGATCTGCCAAGAGGAGTGGGCCAAAATCCCTCCTTAGATGTGTGCAAACCTGGTGGCCAACTACAGTAAACGTCTGACCTCTGTGATTTCCAACAAGGGATTTGCCACCAAGTACTAAGTCATGTTTTGTGAAGGGGATCAAATACTTATTTCCCTCATGAACATGCAGATCAGTGCATAATTTGTTAGACATGAATTTTTTTGAATTTTTTGTTGCTATTCTGTCTCTCAGTGTTACAATACACCTACCATTTGATTTTTAGACTGATCATTTCTTTGTGAGTGGGCAAACATTCAAAATCAGCAGGGGATCAAGTACTTATTTCCTTCATTGTATTACTGTATTTTGCGGTCCTTGAGGGTTAGGGACCAAATTGAATGTACAATATGTATGTAAAGCACTGCGTAAATTGATGGCGCTATATAAGTACCTTAAATAAATATATAGCACAGTTTATGCATACACTCCTCAATCACTTTATTCTTACATTGTAAGCCATGCAGAATATCTGTAAACCATCTGGTACTCAAAGGTTAAAAAGGATTTGTCTGAAAATTGCTCTTCAAAAATAAATGTCTGATATTTCTGAAATGTAATATTGTCTTACATCAACCAACCATACCAAGTCTATGCATGAAAATCATTACCGGAGGTTCATACGTAATATATGGTAGAGGAAATAGAAACGTGTTACTTTCCTCCACAACTGCTTCATTAAAATAGATTTGCCTCTAATTCGCAGCCACGAGATTCTTAACATAGTACTGTAGGTGGGTGTCATAATCAGGAAAAAAGTTAATGCGTGTGTACATGTCTATGGCATGGGCGTTTTTTTCCATTAAACTTTGCTGATGAAGGAATGCCAGAGAAATATGTTCTTCGTTTACAGCTAAGTGACAAAACATGTCGTACATGTCTGTAGCATAGCACTGAACAGATCGTACATAAAAGTCCCTCAAACCGTCAGGGCTTAGAATTGGAGTAAACGTCAGTCTAGCAGAGAAAGAAGAGAGGGGATCACTTCAGAGGAGCCTTTAATCTTTTTGTGTGTGCGTATGTTTGTGTGCAAGGCAGGGAGGGACACTGCGGATCAGCATTACCATGGGAAAGTGTCTCTGGAATGTCCCTACCCCACAATACAAGATGAGAGGCACCACCATGCATTTTTCATGTTTGGGAAACTGATGTTCTTAATTTTTCTTCACTATATGATTTCGTTTCAAGCGCTGTGGCGTATTACATTACCAGACTCTGACAGACGCTGCAATACCACAACATTGTCCTGTAGCTCTGTGTGTCTCCTCTATTTCCCTTACATCATAACAGTGGACACGCTTTACAAGTAGACGGACTTGATAATTGCATTTTCTGTTCATACTTTGCTGTTAGTTACATTACTAATTACATCGTTAGGAATACAAAAGTGTATGTTACTGTTCAAACATGCAAGGGGCCTTTTATTATGTAAAGTTTCCAAAAGCCAAATATAATGTACCCAGCAGGGGTGGACATGGCATCTGAGCAGATTCTGCAGTTGCACAAGGGTCTTGCGGGATTTAGGGCCCATTTAGGCTTCATGTACAAACCCCTAGACGTTAAGCTCTCCTGGCAGCAGAAAAATTCTAAACGCGGCAAAAACGCATGTAAACATGGTACAGCATTTAGCCACATATATCCGTGTTTGACGCTTGGACGTTTATTCATTTGCTTGGCCAGAATATTTTCCATTAACATGAATAAATGCCCAAGCGTTAATGCGGCTAGTGCTTAGATACGTTTCGATGCATTTTGCAGCATTTTGCGGTTTTTCCCAAAACATTTCTCTCCTGAACGCAATTATTTTGCATTCAGCATAGGAATGTTTAATTGTCCCTAAACTCTGCTGCTTCTAAACTCTGGTAAAAGACGTTGGGGTTGATTTACTAAAGGCAAATAGTCTATGCACTGCATGTGCACCTGCAAATGCACTGCATGTGCACTGGAAGTGCAGTTTCTTTATATCTAAGGGGGGGAAGCGCTAAAATGAGGCAAAGCTCTGCTTCTTTCATCTAATCATGTGCAAGCACAAATGCTGTTTTTTTAATTAATTTTCCCTGCATGTTCCCCTCAGATCTAGAGTACACTTTCAGTGCACTTGCAGTGCACAGCCTATTTACCTTTAGTAAATCCACCCCTATGTGTACATGGACACATAGGGGTTGATTTACTGAACCTGAAGTGTGCAAAATTTGGTGTAACTCTGCATAGAAACCAATCAGCTTCCAGGTTTTATTGCCAAAGCTTAATTGAACAAGCTGAAGTTGGCAAAAAAACACCAACAGCTCCTAAACTCACATTTAGGAGCAGCAGTGTACATGAGGCCTTATACTAGATATGGGTCAGATGGGTGTGGGATCTCTCCAGTTGTCAAAAATCAGGGAAAAGGGAATTGGGAAACGCTGGGGAATCCACGTACAGTGTCTAAAAGTGGAGGTGCTACTAGAAAGTCTGGAAGGGTGCTACCTAATCAATATGCAAAAAAAGAAAAATAGAGGAAGAAAAAAGGCTACACACCTAAAAGGCTAACCTCAAAAGAAATTTGTTATGCACCATAAACAGTAATAGGTCATCGGAGACATGATAATCCTGCATGACAGAAGACTCTATCCCCCGGGATATCAAGAGGGAACCCTCAAGGATGGACCAAGGAAAGAGTTGGTCCACTGGGACTAAACGGACCCAACCCACCAACACCCAACCCAAAAAAAACACCAAAAAGTTCCTAAACTCACATTTACGAGCAGCAGTGTACATGAGGCCTTATACTAGATATGGGTTAGATGGGTGCTGGGATCTCTCCAGTTGTCACAGAGACTTACACACTGCTGGGTGCTGCTCGGCTGACAATCATTAAACAGGGAATGAGTCAATTTTCTTGGCCAGTAATTGTTCTTACACAAGGGTTCCTTGGTTGTTGAGTCTACCACCTTCCTTTTCAACAGGTTTACTGTCAACATGTGCACTGCAGAAGAGCCTTATTGGCCCCCAGTGTTGGCTAACCCTCCCCTGGACTGTACAGTGGATTACAAGATGCCTATACCAAGACACATTAAAGTGGAAGAAAAGCCTAATGTTATTTGTTATTAAATATGCCCCCCCCCCCCCCTCTTCTCTTCCTACCTAACCTGCATAAAAAAAGCATGCTTACCTATTTTTATACTGCTCTGGTCTGGTCACTTGATCTGGAAGCTTCAGCTTTCCTGTGTCATTGAGCGGGGGTGGTGCAAAGGAGAACGGGCTAACGGCTGTGTCATGGGAGCCTATAGGTGACCTCACGGCTCTCAGAACTCTCAGTCGCACAGATCCAGAGCTGGAGCTGCAGGATCACATGACTGGAGCAGATTAAAAATAGGAAAGTACACAGACCTCTTTTATATAGGTTAGGCAGGATGGGTGGGAGGGGAAAGGAACATTCTTAAGGAAAAGTTAGACTTAGGCTTTTTTTTTACTTCAAGTACTTACACTACTGTATTTAACAAATAATCATGCTTTATATTTTTAATGAGAAAAAAAATATATATACCTGCCAGACACTGTAGCTAGGTCCTGACTTTTAGTATTCTCCACTGATTACGTTGTCTCTCTACTCCAATCCGCAAACTCAATCTCGTAGACTGAAAGCAATGTATTAAAGCCTAATTGGCTTACACTGATGGCCCCTTCTCTCGCCATCTGAATGTTGATGTGCTGGGGATTACAGGAACCTGGTAAAAAGGTACAGTTGTGTGTGTGGGGGGGGGGGGGCTATTTAAAGCCATCACTGTTCAATACTTATGCAGTTTAAAGACTCAATTACCCATGAAGTTTTCTTTATTGTTTTTTTCTTACCATGAGATGCATTTGAACTTTTTTAGTCTTTGTGTTATATATCAATATTTGTTGGTTATTATAAAGGAAAAATATTGTGTTGAATGAGCATTAAGTTGCAACCTATATAAAATAATTTTATGTGCCTTTTGTTTTGAAGGTTACTTTGATGCCCATGCCCTGGCTATGGACTTCATGAGCATTGGTTTTCGAGAATGCTTAACAGAAGTTGCAAGATATCTGAGCTCTGTTGAAGGCATGGACACCTCTGATCCCCTTCGAGTGAGACTTGTTTCCCATCTTAGTACCTGTGCCTCACAAAGGGAAGCAGTAGCCATGACATCATCAATGACCCAACACCAGCACTCCCTGCACCCTCACCATTGGGCAACAGCTTTCCACCAACTTCCTGCAGCTTTGCTGCAACAAAATGGACTTTCTTCATCTGACAGTATTCCTTGCAGACTTTCTACAGCTACAGAGATGCCTCCACAACATGGCTCTGCTCTTCTTACAGCCACATTTGCTCATGCAGATGCTGCTCTTAGAGTGCCTTCAGTTGGTACTGTTGCTTCCAGTGTTCCGCCTCTCTCTCTACTACCTCCTTGCTGTCACTTTCAGCCACAGTACATGCTGCGGCTGCTGCTGCGGCACAGGGCTTCCCTCTGTCATTTGCCGGAGCTTTCCCAATTCTTCCACCGGGGGCAGCGGCAGCTATGGCAGCTTCTGCAACAGCCATTTCTTCACCCTTGTCTTCCTCGTCCAGCCCGCGACAAGCTAGTGCCAGCACAAATAATAAGCCATATCGACCATGGGGGACTGAAGTAGGGGCATTTTAACAAGCTGCTATTTAAAGGACTGGTTTAAATGATGAACTATCATGTGCAGGAACAATGTCCTTGGTTACAATAAAATATGATGTCTGAAGTATACAGATGACCTGTGGACTTAGAAAAATGCATAATCTATTTTATATGTTGCTTCTAGAAGGTGAATATCAAACGTATTGTAACATCAAAGGTGATTTTATGGGATTATTAACCCAAATCTGATCTCTGTTTCATTTTCTACTTGCATAACTTGGGATTAGCTGATCATTGTCACCCACCATTGAGTACTTGCCAGAATGGAAGATAAACAAATACAGCAAAAATTATGCTAAAGTAACAAATCAGACTTCTTCTTTTAATTTATTAGTGCAGGATTGAGAGCAAAAGAAGAAACCTGATTGGTTGCTGTTGTTACCATCTGTTTTTGGTGCTGTTTTGCAAAATGAGCCCATTGATTTGGGAGAATATAACTGGTCATTTTGCTCTTTGCCATTGATAGCAAATTAGGTGGCACCGAGTTCCAGATATTTATTCAGTCAATATTTAATCTCTTCTGTTTTATTGAAAACAAGAGCTTCAGTCTTTGACATCCATATGTACACCCCAATCAATTGCTGATGTGTTCTATTTAAGCAATTTATAGAAGGACGGAATGGAAAAAGACAAGTGACCCTTCATTTAGCTTTTTATTATAGCCTGCAGAAGGCTGATAATACTGAAACCAAAAATGTGTACCATATACAGTATGTCACAAATAAATAGAGGTCTCATGCAACATGTTTTCGATAAGAACCCTTCAGCACATTGAAAGTCAATTTTCCTCGAGTGAAATACAGAGTCTGCCATTACTGACCTGCCTGTGGACTTGCTGGTTGACTGGTTGTTATCCCTTTTTGACTGCTTAAAGGCCAAGAGAACTGTCAGTTTAAACTAGCTAATTACATTACAGGTGCATCACATTAAAATATGTTTAGTTTCCTACAGTCTGTTTTCTTTTCTTTTTTTTGAGTAGAAAAGCCTGTCCCCTGCTGCATACTGCAGAGTAGCACTTTTGCTCTCTGGAAACAGTGGTCTCTCTGCAGAGGTCTGACATGCCCCTTGCTGCGTCAGTACCAGAGTTCTCTTATTAGCATCTGGTCTGATTCAGTAGGGGGCTTGTTGGAGCCACTGCAGAGAGACCACTGCTTCCACACAGAGAGCAATGGTCCCCTCTGCAGCTGCTGACAGGGAATAGGCTTTTCTACTAAAGCTGTAGCTACTTTAGAAAGAAAATAAACTGTAAGACAGCTGATTTTAACTGAGGATGATTCAAATGGGCTTTAACATTTCCTACTTGTCCTCCTGAGGATCTACCCCTCTTCCTGTCCAGGCCATTTTTTGCGTTATGGCGCTGCGTTACTTTAACTGACAATAGCGCGGTCATGCAACGCTGCACCCAAATGAAATTTACATCCTTTTTTCCCACGAATTTAGATTTCTTTCGGTGGTATTTGATCGCCTGTGCATTTTTTATTTTTTGTGATATGAAAAAAAAGACCGACAATTTTAAGAAAAAAAAAAAACAATATTTTTTTACTTTTTGCTAAAATCCCAATACGTGTAAGTTAATTTATATGAAAATTACAGAGTTTACAAATGGGGGTATATATATATATATACTGGGATTTTTTTTTTTTTAATAGTAATGTTGGCGATCAGCGGCGTACAGCTAGACTGCGGCAGGCATTCTGACACTGGGGGAAACTGACTTGGTGTAACTGACATCCCCAGTGACACCAATACAGTGATCAGTGCTACAAAAAAAAAAGCATTGACACTGTACTAATGGCGCTGGGCAGGAAGGGGTTAACATGAGGGGCAATCAAAGGGTTAACTGTGTGCTGTTTTATATAGTGCTGTGTCCGTGCGCTTCAACTGCAAGTACTGCTTTGGATGGCTGTGCTGTGCACAGCCATCTAAAGCAGTGTGCACGAGCTGATAGGGAGGACAACTGTTTTGTTTGCAAACAGTTCTCCTCCCCCTCGGAGATCCTCGGCAATCACCAGGCGCCAGCAAGTAATCACACAGTGATTGTCAGCCGTGGCCACCAATGGCGGTGCTAGTAGGGCCGTGAACAGTGGCACGGGTATACGTGATTTTGTGCACCCGTGCCACCCTGTAGCAGTATTTCTGCTATAGTGCAGTCGGGAAGCGGTTAACCTCTTGCTGCTCATGTAAAACATGTGCAGTGGTAAAAGGGTGGGCTTTAACGCCCACACACTGCACATATGTGTCTGTGGGTGGTTGATGTTTCTGTGCTGATAGTGCTCTCATATGTGTTCCCAACGCAGACACCAAGTTGTCAAGGTCAGCGTTAAACCCCCACTGACGTTCAGTAGCCTGCGGGACCAGTTCCTGATTAAGTGACCATTGTGACAGCCAATCACAGTGGTCACATGAATGATGATCCTACCAGCCCCAAGAGAGTACAGATCCTATAAAAGGAATTCTGAGACCGGGTGGGAAGAGGCTGAGCAGAAGAAAAGTTAACACTATAACCCATTAAGACCTGGTTGTTCTTCACTTTATGGCATGAATTTTCAAACTAGTGGTGGTACCAGTGGCAATAAATGTGGTGCAATCAGGCCATTTAGACTTTTATCAGTATAACCCGCTTGAACGGGACCTTTTTCCCTGTGTATGCTGTGGTCACAGACTACATCTATTACTAGATAAATGAGAGGAACTACTTAAGTTTGTTTTGTTGCAGATAAATCACCCATGTTACCCGTAGCTAGTGAATGCTAACATTGAAACTTCATGTATAAAGTCAAAATCTAAGGTATTTTACATGGCTGCACTGGGGAACAATTAAAATTAGATGTATGAGCTAAAGCGATTCATAGATGGTGTATTACAAATACATTATTGTCTGTCAAATCAAACTAGACATTAGGATAAAACCATGGGAGTTAAAATGACTGATTTGTTCTGCAAGCTGCATGCTCATGGGCTGCCTTCCTTCACTACATGGTAGTTCAGTATATCAATGGTCAACCTAATATGCTCATGCTTGTTTCTGGTCACTGACTCACTAGTTAGGTAGGGATGAGAATGAAATTTGTAAACCATGTAAATTCCAAAAGGAGAAATCCAAAAAGCACTTATGAAAACTCCATAGTGCTAAAAATCCGATGATGTTTTAAATACTTACATGTACATAGGGTTTACATAAAATTATGACACAAGGATTAATATTATCGTCACAGATACTAAGGGAAAAGTCTTGCAACAGGACTTTTGCATTTAAAGTTTATGTTTTATTTTCTATGCACTGAAACCTATTGTATAAGCGTTGTGTAAAATGATTGTTAAGGGGCTGGACCCTTGTGAATGAGATAGATGAGCAGTGATTATTAAAGCTGAACTCTGGGAAGATACAAAGACACAGCTTAATGCAGACACATATTTATGTATACATACTAAATTGATTTTTGGTAATCAAAGTGGTGTAAGTGCCTGAATTTTACCTGGTAACAGCCCATTTCAGACCCTGTACAGCAGAGCTCAGAGAGGGAAAAGCAGGGATGATAGAAGGGGAGAGCAGAGTGACAAAAACAATTAGCTCATCGGTGTGCTGCTTCTCCTTTCACTGTCCAATCACAGGCTGAGGCACGGACAAGACCTGTAAGTGTGACTAAAAGTGTATGTAAGCCCTCACAATGATCTTCTCTTATTTGTACCCATTTGGTCTGCAATATATACCATTGAAACTATTTTGTTATATCTGTTTGTTAAGTGCACAAAATACCTGTTGATTTTGCCAGAAATCACTTCCCGTGCTCTCTGCCTGTGCACAAGAAGGGATTGTGGAGATGAGGAGAGGTCTGTGTTCTTTATAGTCCATCAAATATGAAGTAGGCAGGGCTGACACGTGCCAAGAAACTCAGAGCTGAAAATTCACTATGTTGTCATGTCAAAGAGGAAGGAAAGAGCATACTATATTTTGGGAACATCAACAGTTATTTCTCTGTACCTGCTGCTTATTCAAAGAGACAAAACATGGTGAAATGTGTTTTTATTGCAGAGATATACAAAATATATATATATATATTTTATTTGCCTTGACATACACTTGAACTGCAACAAAGAAAAATCAGGCAGGCAGGGATGTGCTGCATGGCTGTGTAATTCTCAGTAAGGTATCAATAGAAATACAAATCTTTTGTCAGGTGAAACAGCTCTCATATATCTGTTATTTTCTATAATAAAGCTGATCTTCAGCCCCCTCCCCATTTTTTTTTTTTAGCCCCAGCTTACTGGGGTTATCTTCTGCACAAATCAGATACTCACCCACCCAGCAGATCTAGCGTTGTCCCGCTGAGATTCTTTCCTGTTTTTCCACCACTCAGTCCCATGCCACCATTTTTTCCGTGACGCCATCAGAAGGCACTGACTTTTCTGGGTTCAGCCAGCGGGCCTACTGATGACACGCTATTTGGCCATCCCCCTCCTCCTTTATTGAATGGAGAGATAATGTCTCCTTGGATATGTGACGTGCATATTCCAGGAGGCAGAGAGCACAGTGCACGTCATTTGCCTAGGCTAAAAAACACATTGCGAATTCGGGAGAGGAGGCAAGGAGAAGTGGATAGAACTGGAGATTGCCTGGAAGGTGAAGATCTGCTTTAAGCCTAGAGTTCAGCTTTAATGGTTTGGTATGCTTTTAAACAGTCTCTAAATAGTAAAAACTTTAAACTAAAGCTTGTTTTATCTAGATTACTGATGGTCAACTTTCTTGAGTCCTTGACATCCCCAAAGGGCTGTACATAAAATGCAATAATGCAATGCTACAGAGACTGCAGGCATACAACAGGAGATGGTATGAGACTTCAATATGCTATAGGGCTTGTCAGAGATTGTGAACACGCTATAATAGTTGTTGGAAACTGGGGACATGCCTAAGGAAGTTGTCAAAGATCGGGGACAAACTATACGAGACTTCAAGAAATTACTGCTATTACAGGGCAATAGAAAACACAGATGTAGGGTCCTCAAGGGCAACACAAAAAAGAGCTTCAGGTTGGGCACCAGGGATTTAGATGGTGACAATTTTAGCTGTCTTCCTCCCCTCACTTACAAAAAAAAAATGGTTCAAAGCCAGAATACGACTAAAGACTGTTTACATTTTAGATACTTTTTAATATATTTCTATATATGAGGAATTCAGCAGATTGCAAAGGGAGTCCTCTGTATTCCCACTAGTGTGTAACACAAGTTGTAAACTAAGAGATGTCCTCCTTGTTTGGCCCACCCACCTGGCAGAGCCAGTTAAGGGGTTAACCTTCTCCACTTAAATATTGTAAGGTAGTCAAGAACCTTCAGAACTTCAGAAAGAAGAACATACCACTAAAGTCCACTATTAGTACAAATATCATTTATTATAGACTGACACTTTAGCTGGCCATAGATGGGTAGAATTTTGAATGAGAATCCTTAGAAAAAGAATGTTCTAGGGATGTTTGTTTTTCTAATCATTAGTGGGTCAAACTGACATTTTTTTTTAAGTTTTTGACTGCAGTGACAAAAAAGTTCAAAGAAGCTGAATGGAAAATGTTTCAACAACAAGTGAATTTCTAACAGCATATGTAGTCTTCATTCATTCCAAAATCAAATTTTAAAAGCAAACAAAATCTTTTGAATGACATTCGAATGTTTTGAGAATTTATGTACAAATTTTCCTAAGAATTTCCATTCGAACTTCCATCCATCTATGGCCAGCTCTAGCAGTAACGTGCAGTGGAAGGTGTAAAGGGAAAAAATAAGTCAAACCCTAGCTCTTATAAATTTTTTGCTATGAAATGATCTGCAATGGGACATTATGATTTACAAGGTTCCTGGAGCAATAATCATTTGTATAATCCTTTTCCATTGATATAATGCCCGAACACCTTAGGCCATTTTTTACACTTTGTACTTTATGAAACAGAGCAAATATGGAAAGAGCACAATGGGTTACCTAATCACAAATCATGTTTCTTAACCTGACTAAAATGTTTGTTTAAAATGACCCTTCCACCACAGGGTAACCTATAAAAAAGGAGAATTCTATTAACCACTTGCCTACCGGGCACTTATACCCCCTTATTTACCAGGCCAATTTTCAGCTTTCAGTGCTGTTGCACTTTGCTTGACAATTGCGCGGTCATGCAAGATTTTACTCATATGAAATTTTTATCATTTTTTTTCTCACAAATAGAGCTTTCTTTTGGTGGTATTTAATTGCTGCTGGGCACTTTACTTTTTGTGCTATAAGCAAAAAAACTGCAAAGAAATTTTGAAAAAAAAAAAAGTTTCTTTGTTTCTAATATAAAATTTTTCAAACAGGTAATTTTTCTCCTTCACTGATGTGCGTTGATGAGGCAGCACTGATGGGCACTGATAGGCAGCACTGAAGGGCACTGATAGGCGACACTAATGAGGTGGCACGGATAGGCGGCACTGATAGGCAGCACTAATGAGGTGTCACGGATAGGTGGCACTGATATTCGGCACTGATTAGTGGCACTGATAGGCGACACTGATAATGGGTACTGATAGACAGCACTGATAGGTGGCACTGACTGACATCACTGCTGGGCACTAACTGGCGGCACTGCTGAGCACTGACTGGCACAACCGCTGGGCACTGACTGGTGGCACTGACTGGCAGCACTGCTGGGCTGCACTGATGGGCACTGGTGGGCGGGCACAGGTGGGTGGCACTACTGGGCACAGGTAGGTGGCACTTCTGGGCACAGGTGGTGACACTGCTGGGTGGCACAGGTGAGCGCACTGCTGGGCACAGGTGGGCGCACTGCTGGGCACAGGTGGGTGCATTGCTGGGCACAGGTGGGTGCACTGCTGGGCACAGGTGGGTGGAACTTGTGTGTGGCACTGCTGGGCACCGATCATCAGGGCACTGATGATCAGTGACCCTGATGATCAATGCCGATCCCTCTGACAACTGTCGGTTTTTGGCAGTACTTTCCTCACGATCTGACAGCGTGAGGAAAGTGCAGCCGAGAACCGGCATTTGCATTTCCCTGTGATCAGCGTGTCATTGGACACGGCTGATCACGTGACGTTGTAAAAGGCCAATCACAGCGGCCTTTTACCACGTGATCAGCCGTGTCCAATGACACGCTGATCACAGGGAAATGCAAATGCCAGTTCTCGGCTGCACTTTCCTCACGCTGTCAGATCGTGAGGAAAGTACTGCCAAAAACCGACAGTTGTCAGAGGGATCGGCATTGATCATCAGGGTCACTGATCATCAGTGCCCTGATGATCGGTGCCCAGCAGTGCCACACACAAGTTCCGCCCACCTGTGCCCAGCAGTGCACCCACCTGTGCCCAGCAATGCACCCACCTGTGCCCAGCAGTGCGCCCACCTGTGCCCAGCAGTGCGCTCACCTGTGCCACCCAGCAGTGTCACCACCAAGCTGTGTACGTAGCGATTACGGAGATTGCCGGGTGGTGCGCAGGAGAGCGCATTCTGGGAGGACGTCATATGACCCAGAACTGGCCGGCCGCAGTGCAGCCGTCATTCGGCTATCTGCGGTCGGCAAGTAGTTAAAGAAAAGGCTGCCCATGTAATGAAGTGCCACTGATTCACTTCTCCCCCCCCCGTTGCAGGTATTTGACTGGTTGGCTGACTCCATCCCCACTGCTGCATGCAATGGTCCCTCTTGTCCTGTAGAGATGAAAAAGCTGGTGGGAGAAACCACTGTGTGCAGCAGGAGCAGTGGGTATCCGCACACTTGTGGATGTGTGGAATACATTTAGCGACTGAAGACAACTGAAGTAGCATTTCCAATGGAAACACAAGTATAGTGCTACTTATATGACAGGCCTGGGCTTTTTTTTTTATAAATGACCATAAAGTGTGTTCTGGTAGCAGTATGGGGACTTCCCATCCCTCTCCTGGGACAAAATTGAGGTGGGCTGAGTGCTTTACAGCCATTTATAGGAGGCCTTGTATTTTGTTTGGCCAAATACAACCCTTTCAAGTGTACGAGACTACGGTTCACAACTCTGCAGCACTATGTAATGCATGCCATTGCAACATGGTGCTGTGGGCTTTTTACTAGTTAAAACAGGCATTCAGGAGGTGACACCACGCATTACACAACAGACTGCTTCTCAGAGGGGCGTTAGCCACCTACACATGTAAACAAGGCCTTAAAGTACATCTATGTTTTTTCTAAGGTTTGTTTAGATTAGGGGGTGAAGGGGTCAGCTGTCTGTGTCCCATCGGGTTGACTTCCCTTCAGTTCCTCTTCCAAAGACACAACAGGTATTTAAATCAAAATCTCTCTACATTGAAAGGAAATCATTTCTTAGACCAGGGGTGTCAAACTGGCGGTCCTCCAGCTGTTGCCAAACTACAAGTCCCACGAGACATTGCAAGATTGACAGTTACAAGCATGACTCCCAAAGGCAGAGGCATGATGGGACTTGTATCTCCTTGCAACAGCTGGAGGGCCGCCAGTTTGACACCCCTGTCTTAGTTGTCACCAAGCCATATACCCCGCAGGAAGATTTCTTCCTACCTTTGTTCCAATGACAACTATAGCAGTTTGTATTTCCCAGTATTTTCTGCCCTGGTGACAATCAGTAATAAGGGGGCTGATCTTCCAAGCAGGAACTCCAGTAGTAAAGGTCTGATCAAAGATTTAACCATTCTACTTGTGAACACCTGAAACTATAAGAAAAGCATTAAATGACTATGGGTACATTTGTTTTGAATGTGTATGGACAGTGTCCAATAACAGAGTAAACAGCTTTCTTGCTGTACAGTTGGAAATTTAATGTGTAACTAATGGCAACAAAAGAAAATTTTATTTTGGATAGAGTAAGAGAGGGTTATCTCTGTCACTTTTTTGCCATCTGTGTCCCATAGTGAAGATTTCCCTTCACTTCCTGTCCCACAGCCAAAACAGGAAGTGACAGAAAATCTCTCCTAAGTGTTGGAATCCCAGTGTATCACCAGGTTCACCAGAACTAGTGTCCCCATTAGAAGATTTCCTCTCTATTACTGTTCCCCTCCGCCCTATAGCAGAAATACTGCTACAGGGTGGCAGGGGTGCACAAAATCACGTATATATACGTGATTTTGCATTTCAAGGTAGGGGGTGTGTGCGAGGCCCGAATGCCCTACCCGCACCAATGACCGCGACCGCGGCTGTCAATCACCAGATCCCGGCTGTTGATTACTCACAGGCGCCGGGTGATTGCCGAGCATCTTTGATAGGGGGGAGAACTGTTTGTAAACAAAACAGTTCTCTTCCCTGTCAGCTCCTGCACACTGGTTTGTATGGCTTTGCATAGCAGAGCCATACAAAGCAGTGTGCCTACAGTGGAAAGCACACACACACACACACAGTCCCACAGTAATCATTTGATCGCCCCAGATGTTAACCCCTTTCTGCCCAGTGCCATTAGTACAATGTCAATGCTTTTTATTAGCACTGATCACTGTATTGGTGTCACTGGGGATGTCAGTGACACCAACTCAGTTCCCCCCAGTGTCAGAATGCCTGCCGCAGTCCCGCTATAAGTCACTGATCGCCGCCATTACTAGTAAAAAAAAGTTTTAATCCAGTATATATACCGCCATTTATAAACGCTATAACTTTCACGTAAACCAATTAATTTACACGTATTGGGATTTTTTTTTGACAAAATTTGATTTGATGCCACAAATATTTAAGGCAGTTCTGAAGGCAAAAGGGGGTCCAACCCGGTACTAGCAAGGCCAGTGAGTATTATTTTTTCCACAGTCAAGAGGATCTTCATGTACACAGAGCCTTGCACTGGCTTCCTTCTCCTTGAGACAAGCGCTGTCACTTACACCTCCATTTCCTTGCTAGCAGCATTCTCAGATGATGGTGAGGAGAGGTGGTTGAGCTGTCTGCTGTCAGCAGTGATAGCAGAGCCATACAAAGCAGTGTGCCTACAGTGGAAAGCACACACACATTCCCACAGTAATAATTTGATTGCCCCAGATGTTAACCCCTTCCTGGCCAGTGCCATTAGTACAATGTCAGTGCTTTTTATTAGCATTGATCACTGTATTGGTGTCACTGGGGATGTCAGTGACACCAACTCAGTTCCCCCCAGTGTCAGAATGCCTGCCGCAGTCCCGCTATAAGTCACTGATCGCCGCCATTACTAGTAAAAAAAAGTTTTAAAAATCACAGTATATATACCACCATTTTAAGTGCTATAACGTTCACATAAACCAATTAATTAACACGTATTTTTTTTTAGCAAAGACGTAGTAAAATACATTTTGGTCTAAATTTATGACAAATTTTGATTTGTTATTTTTTTTTGGGACATGTTTAATAGCAAAAAGTCAAAAATATTGTTTTTTTTCTCAAAATTGTCAGCCTTTTTTGTTTGTAGCGCAAAAATAAAAACCGCACAGGCGATCAAATACCACCAAAAGAAAACTCTATTCATGGGGAAAAAGGCCGTAAATTTAATTTGGGTGCAGCGTTGTCTGGCCGCGTAATTGTCGGTTAAAGTAATGCAGTGCCATAACGCAGAAAATGGCCTGGTCAGCAAGGGGGGTAAATCCTCTGGAGGGCAAGTGGTTAAATGATAAATGATTAATGTGACCAATGGCATTTGACCATGATTGTACATAATATCTGAAATACTGCTGGTGCCCAGTCAGAACAGTGATAGTATTTTTGAAACTAGTAAGATCTTACAAATCAGGACAGCTGAATTCTCAGCCAACATCTAAATAAACAAATTAAATAGATATGTAGTATTTTTTCTTTACCTGCCAAAGAATTTGTATTTCAGTCCATCCTGTGCTGAGATACATAGCCCTGCCATAAAGGACAGCTTGGCAGATGACTCCACTTGCTCTGCTAAGGTTAAGGAATACAGTGGTGTCCTCTCCGCACACCCAGCCTGCTAACTGGACATTCAGTTACATCAGTTCTGGATTACCAAATATGCAGAGTAGGCTCCAACCTATGGACCCCACGCAGTTTAACCACTTCAATACAGGGCACTTTTACCCCTTTGCTCTCACACTTTGAATGACAATTGCGCAGTCATGCAACACTGTACCCAAACTAAATCTTTGTAATTTTGTTCATACATCTAGAGCTTTCTTTTGGTGGTATTTAATCACTACTAGGGTTTTTATTTTTTGCTAAATTAACAAAAAAAGACCTAAAATTTTGAAAAAATGTTTTTTCTTTGTTTCTGTTATAACATTTTGCAAATAAATAATTGTTCTTCATAACTTTAGGCCAAGATGTATTCTGCTACATGTCTTTGGTGAAAATAACCCAAATTAGTATTTATTATTTAGCCTGTAGGAAAGTTATAGAGTTCACAAACTATGAGATATATCTGAATATTGATCAATCCTGAAGTACTGACAGCCAATCTAATTTCTTGAGGTCCAAAAATGTCAGAACAGTATACCCCAAATGACCCCTTTTTGCAAAGTAGACAGTCCAACGTATTTCATAAGAGGCATGGTGAGTTTTTTGAACTTGTCATTTTTTTTGTCATTTTTTTGCAAATTAAGAAATTAAAAACATTATTTTCACTTTTTTTTTCATACTGTCACCAGTGCAGTACAGCATCATCATATAACTGGTGTGGTGGTGATCAGGGACACTGACTGGTGACAGTACGAAAAAAAAATTGATAATTTTTTTTTTAGTTTTTTTATTACTTTTTTTCTCTTTCTTCAAGATTTTTTTTTTCATATCACACTATGACCAAAGTATTATAATGTTACCATAGTAACATTATACTACTTTGGGGAAGTGATCAGTATTTTTTTTTTACACAATTTGATTGCTTATAGCAAAGAATTTATTTGCTATAAGCAAGCATTTAACTGAATGAAATCGATTCAAAGGAAGCCATTCATTGTATACAACTGTCATGTGACCTGCTGTGATTGGCCAAGCAGGTCATATGGTACTGGCAACAGGGCCGGTACACAGATCTGGAATCGGCCGTGTCCGAGGTACACAACCAGGGACAGGTCTCGCCACAGTGCGGTCCTGCGGGCAAGTGCAAAGTGCGATCTGGGAAGGATATCATATGGCGCCCTCCCGGAGGGACGAGAGGCTCGCCCGGCTATTATTTTACTATAGGCTGGGCGAGAAGTAGTTAACAGCCCAACGACAACAAATCAAAATAATATTGATTTGATCTTGAAATAAAATTACAGAGAAACGTTCTTAAATTGTTTTAAAAAGATGAATCAACTAAAAAAAAAAAATTACATTATATGCTGTATAGACTAATGCTGTATTAATGTAATATACCCACCAATAACAACCTAAAGTACACAAGCCATATACATCAGGTTTACATTACAGTTTGTCTCTTAAAAGCTCATCTTCTTTCAGCTGCCAGTTTGTAACACATTTTGGTGTAACCTATGTCATGTACAGGGGCAGACTGACAACTCATGGGGTCCCTGGGCAATAGGGGATCATGGGGCCCCTGTGTCCTTGCCCAAACTCAAAAAAGCCTATGAAAAAGGTACCAGG